AGGGATAATTTTACTTCCTCTTTGAAAATTTGTATACCTCTAATGTCTTTCTCTTGTCTTATTGCTATCGCTAAGACTTCCAATACAATATTGAATAAGAGAGGAGATAATGGGCATCCTTGCCTAGTTCCTGTTCTTAAAAGGAATGCCTTTTACCTCTCTCCATTGAGAATAATGTTAGCTCTCGGGTTTTCATAAATACTTTTTACTATATTGAAGAAATTCCCCTCTAGTCCTATTTTGGTGAGTGTTTTCATCAGAAAAGGGTGTTGGATTTTGTCAAAGACCTTTTCTGCATCAATTGATAGGATCATGTGGTGCTTTTTCTTTGCTTTGTTAATAAGATGAATTATATTAATTGTTTTTCTTATATTGAACCATCCTTGCATGCCTGTTATGAATCCCACTTGGTCATGATGGATTATTTCTTTGATATATCATTGTATTCTATTGGCCAATATTTTATTCAGGATTTTTGCATCTGTGTTCATAAGTGATATTGACCTATAGTTTTCTATTTTGGTGGTGTCCTTTCCTGGCTTTGGTATCAAGGATATGTTTGCTTCACAGAATGAGTCTGGGAGTGTCCCATCTTGTTCTATTTTTTAAAATAGTTTATATAAAATTGGTGACAGTTCTTCTCTGAATGTTTGATAAAATTCGCTTGTAAATCCATCTGGTCCAGGCCTTTTTTTGGTTGCCATCCACCTTTTTTAAGGTTCTTCCTCTCATTTGCTGACCCTTGATTTTCCAAGCATGATGGGTCTTTCCAAGGACTGGCCCTCTAACAATAAGCTCAAATTATGTGAAATTAAGCTACATCATCCTTGCCTTTAAGGAACACAATGGTGACACTTTCTCAAATGCATACTTGCTAGTATCCAACAAAATAGTAACAATAAACTTTGCCTCTCGATAATCACACTGAATGTGAGGATCCAAGCATCAGTTAAAAGAACTGATTGGATTTTTAAAAAATGCTGTCTACAAGAGATACACTGGAGAAACGAGGAAAAAGACTAACAATCAAAGGAATCTAAAAAAGATAGGCAATGTCCTCTCATGTAACTAAATGCATGAGAAAACCCTCTGCCAGGTCCATTATCATCATCACTCAGTTCCAATTTGATGTTACATAGCATTGACAATGACAAATATCAAAAGTTGGGAAAATATATTAAGCAAATGGCAACCAAAAAAGGAGGAGAGTTCTATAGTTGTTATGGGCCATTCAATTAAGTATGAATATAGCAACCATGTAAATGAACAGATCTGAACTGTCTTAGTTTGTGCCAACCTTATCATCTGTGACATATGTGAGCCCATTGCTGCCATCACTGCGTCAGTCCATCTCTTTGAAGATTTTCCTCTCTTTCACTGACCAAGCATGTGAACCTTTGCCAAGAAACAGCAACTCCTAGGAACAAGTATGTGAGACGAAATTCACCATTCTTGCCTCCATGAGCACTTTGGCTGCACTTCCTGGTTGGTTTACTAGCAATCCATTGGATATTTAGTTCTCCTCGCCAACATCACAACTCAAAGACACCAATAATTCCTCTGTCATCCTTATTAGCTTTGCAACTTTTAAATGCATAGGATGTAAATGAAAAAATAATGCCTCATATCAGGGGCATCTTGGTCTTTAAACTGACATAGCCGCTCCTTAACACCTTTGAGAGCTTCTCCAAAGCAGATTCTCCCAATGCAATTCATCTTTTGATTTCTTGACTGCTGTAATCAAGGAAGCTGAGGGAAGATTGATACAAGAAGATACTTGTTGACAACTTCAATGTTTTCTCCATCTATCATAGTGTAGCCACTGGCCCAGTGGTGAGGATTTTTGTTTTCTTGATGTTGAAATGTAATCCACATTCAAGACTCTACAGTGATCTTTTGCAGCAAGCATTTCAAGTCTTCCTCATTTTCAGCAAGTAAAGTGTCATCTGCATATGTAAGCTTTTGATGAGTCTCCCTCCAATACTGTCACATTGTTCTTCATAAGAGTTCAGCTTCATAAATTATTTACTCAGCATACAAATTGAAGAGATGCAAATCAAGACAACAACCAGGTAAGACTCCACCCTAGCAACAACAGCAAATTTCAGTAAGAGCTCAAATAACAAATGTTGGTGATGGTGTGGTGAGGCTGAAACTCTCATACACTAACAGTGAGAATGTAAAATGATACAATAATCCTTGAAATCTGGTGTTCCCTTAAAAAAAGCAGAAAATGGAAACAACAATTGACCAAGCTATTAAAACTACTAGGTACACACTGTACAGGGGAGCTGAAAAATGAACAGATACATGAATGGCCATGTTTCTGGTAGCATTATTTACAATATTAAAGAAATGGGAGAAAAGCCATGTTCCCATCAATGAACAAACAGAAAAACTATAATACACTCACATAGTAGACTATGATAAAGCATTGAAAAACAATTAAGAACTCATAAAACATTACATATCATGGATGAGTCTAGAAAACATTATGCTGAATGAAGTTAAGACAGTCATAAAAGAACAAATCTAAGACCACTGTCATAAACGGCTGAAGAAAAGTTTACATATGGGCACACTCATTCTAGTATGGTTACCACTAGGAGGCAAAGGACAAAGTAGAAAATTAATAGAGAATGAATGCTTCACGGGAATGGGTGAAGGACAATGTAGAATGAATAGTATCAGACATTGTATGTATTGTAAATAATACTGTGGGACAAAATATGCATATATGACTAAGGAAAATTCCAAATATGCTTCATAAACATTCGCATAAATCCCAATAAAAATAGGAAAATATTATAATCTTGGAACTATATAGGTACTTCCACCCTGCCCTATAAGGTCATAAGGAGTTGCAATCAAGTCAATGGCAATGAGTTTGGGTTTTGTTTTCTTTTGGGAAGGAGCTCATGGTTTCAACCATGTCCCCAAATATCTGTTAAAGTCTTAACCTCTAGTGTCTATAAAAATAAATTTGTTTGAGGGGAGCTCTGGTGGCCTAGTGGCAAGAAGCTGCACTCCAATCCCAGAGACACATGGTTCGAATCCACCAGATGCTCTGCTGGGAAAGGAGGGACAATCTCCTCCTGTACCAGTCAGATCTGATCTGACGGTACACAGACACACATACACAAAATAATAATAAAAAAATAAATAAATAAATTTGTTTGAAAAATGGGCTCTCTAAAAAAGTTGTCAGTTAACAACATACTATATACATACATAGCAACAGGGTAAAGTCTTAATTCAGTCTCAGTGACCTAAACAGAGAAGAGACAGAAAGGCAATACAAAATAGGAATATAGTCTTGCTGTCACAGAGACTTATGCAGCTATTAACCACGAGACCAGAAAAGGTGAGAAAGGTAAGAAAAGGAAGTTCTGGTGACTTAGTGGTATGGAGTTGTGCTGTCAACCCAAAGACTTGGAGTTTGAATCCACCAGCTTCTCCATGGAAGAAAGATGAACTACCTCTTCCCACAAGATTTACTGTCTTTGAAAACTTATTGGAGGGTCAGTTTCAATTTGACAGTAAATAACAAGGGAGAAATTAAAAACCAGGTAAAACTAATTCAGGGTTTAAGAAAACAGAGTAGTTACCTTTAGAGAGGAAGAAAGGTGTATGGGAAAGGGAGGAGGGGGACTATTGGGCTGCAGGCAGTAGTGCCCCTTCCTCTCTTTATTTACTAACATTAAGTCATAGTCACAGGCGTCCAGAGCGAAGGCTGTGTAGTGGAGCAGACCTGGGGGGAGGGATTGTAAAACAATGAAAGAATTTTTCTTTCACTTTTCCAAGAGGGTAGTGTACTAGGGGGAGGATTGGGAGGGAAGAAAAGTGCAACAATGAATGAATGGAAATTCAAAGTCTCTGTACATTTTCATTGAAATTAATAATAAATTTAAAAAAAAAGGTCACAGACACACTAACAGCTTATTCACAAAAATTCAAACTGTCATTGAGGATATGTGCACTCTCTGTAAGTATGCTATACTTCAATTTAAAAAGTTTATTTTAAAAAGACTTTCACCCACCTTGAAATATTTGTCAATTTTAGGTAAGTTGATTCTCTTTTTGGCATCCAACTTATAGATATTACTGACACTTCCATCCATCAAGTATAAACCAAAGCCCATAACCTGCAAATCCACAAAACATCGCAATAAAGCTCAGATCTGCAAATTTAATTACCTATAAACATTTATGCTATCATAGTTCACAATTCTGAAATGAAAATTCTCTTTGTTCAAAAGGCACTTTGAAAAGCTTCTAGTAAACAGAGCAACCTCTTCTTTCAAAGTTATTCTAACATATGCCCTTCCCCCTCCCCCTCATTTCACTGGCTATTCAAAATCATTTCACTGTGTGAGTCAATGAACAGATTCTTGAACTGTGATGAAAACAAAGTGACATGAAAATAATTTGTGACACAATGAATGATGTTCATGGTCACTATCATACTTCACGATAGTCAGCCATTCATAAACAATAGTTATAATAAGCATAGCTGTTATGAAGGCAACCCAAAACTTCCAAAATATTCCAAAGCAAGGCAAAGAAAAATTTAGCAGAACAACAGAGCAAGTACTTTTGTGACTATTTCCATTTCTTAATAAGGTAGAGACAGATCCTTGAAACCCTCCCAAATTTGAAATAGAATGATGATAAAGAATAGGATGAATACCCCCCCAAGTCTCTTGAACAAGTCAACAAGTATATATTTCTACCTAGGAGTCACATTCTTAAAAGTAAAATCTTAGGGAGCTCTGGTGGCATAGAGGCAAGAAGCTGCACTGCAATCCCAGAGGCATGAGGTTTGAATCCAACAGATGCTCTGCTGGAGAAGGAGGGCAATCTCCTCCTGTATCAGTCAGATCTGATTTGACGGTACTCACACACACATACACACTCACACTTTTTTTTTTAAAAAAAAAGTAAAATCTCAGCTTCTGCTCCAGAAATTAAATAAAATTACACAACCCCATTCCAGCCTTCCTTGTCCAAAAGCACAACATCATCTCCACGATTTAGTGTAATCCTAAAGGACTGATGTCAACAGCTGGCTGTCCATGAGGTTTAGAAAAGTTGCAAGCACAAGATTAAGATTAGAAAAGTTGGTGAAAGAATTCTTAACAAAGCTTAACTTGCCAACAAGAGCACATGCTATTCCTGGCAATACTGCAGGCAATCACCCCACAAATACCTTAAGCAGCATGTGTTTCTCACTGGGTGTCAAGTACATCTTATTCTCATAGTAATCCACACACAAATTTACAATGTCTGCAAGGAGTTCTTCATAACCAGAGATCACTTCAAGCTGCTGCTGCAGAGACTGAAACACAAAACAGGCACATGAGCATCAAGTACCTGGCCTACATGCGGTAACCAGAATGCTGTAGCAGGGCCTTACCTGTGTGATCTTGTTATGGTTGGCCAGAAACATGGACAAATTCTGTGACTCCTGGATGGACTGTGGATCCGCCATCTTCCGTAAAAACTGAGCAGCTCTTTGAAAGCAATGAGCAGAATTAATTCCCAAATGGTGATTTAAAAAGTGAGGGTTAAAAAAAAGCCTGGATAAGTGAGGATTATGTTATTCTCTCTACAGAAGAAGAAATATTAAGAAATGTCAATCCTAAAAACCACTTACAACTTCAGCTTTCTCATGCTTCTCCACTAGCCCAGGATTACAAGTCAGGTTTTTGCCCAATTTGCTCAAATGAACTATAGAAGACGCTACATAGTGCATTTCATATTGGACTGCTAACCAAAAGTTAAACAGTTTGAATCCTACAATTACTTCTTAGAAGAAAGATGGGCAGTCTCCTGTAAAGATTTACAGTCTCAGAAAACAAAGAAACGGTTGCTTTCAGTAGAAACTAACTCATCAGCAGTGAGCCTGGTGTGGGGTTTTACATAGTCCTGGACAGTTACAATCCTGCTTATCAACAGCTGATTTCCTTCTTCAGAAATGGTAAACACTACCTCAAAAGCATAAGAACAGATCAGTTTAGCCTGGCTACCATTCCTCTTGACAAGGAAAATGTATCCTGGAAATATTGTGTCAGTGACCACACACAATTCAGGAACCAAATGCCTAGACAAAGTGCTGGGTACTTCCAGTTTACAGTTCTATTTTGAGTAAACTTAATGATCCTAAGCTTCAGTTAACACAGCTGTAAATAAATCTAATAGCGATGACTTGGCTGTCAGGAAGCTCTCTAAAGTGCTAAAGAGCAAAGATATCAGTGTAGAGACTAAGGCACACCTGATTCAGGTCATGGCCTTTGCAGTTATTTGCTACGCATCAGACAGCTGGACAATAACCAAGGATGGCAAAAGAAGAACTGATGTCTCTGAATTGTGGTGCTGAAGAAGCATAATACTGAACATACTATGGACTGACAAAAGAACTAAGAGTCTGTCCTGGAGAGGGTGAAATCAAGCTGCACCTGAGAGGCACAGATTTTGAGACTCTGTCTCATATACTTTGGGCACGTAACCAGGAGGAACCAGTCCTTGGAGAACGATATCATGCTTGAAAAGGTAGAGGGACAACACAGGAGAGAAAGACCCCAGATGAGATGGACTGATACAGTAACTTGAGTAATGAGGGTAGGAGTGTCAGAAACAGTGAGAAGGCTCAGGAAAGAGAAGGGTTCAGAGATGCTGCGTGTAGGTTCGCTATGAGCAGTAGTCAACTCAGTGGCACCTATGGCACATAACAATAACAACAATGAGAATGATGTGAGAATAATCAAATGAGGACAGCATATATGAAAGTAACTTAACATCAAAGTCTAGCAGAAATGTGAAGTCCACACAGTACCTGTGTAGCCTTGGAAGATGTGGGGCTAAATGAGGAGTTTGGATATCTCAACTTGCCCCTGTTAAGATACAGGGGAACTTACCTGTATGTGGGTATGTCTAGATAGTCTAAGTGTTCAGGGTTTAACTAAAATACAGTTCCCACAATGAAGACTAACATTCTATACTAACAATCATTTCTCCCTCTGAACTGCATTTCAATGTTGCTAGTTGTGGCTACGTGACTACAAACTGGGTCATGAGAATACATGCAAAATATTATTTGGTACTGAAAGATTTACTTCTAAGAAGGGAGTAGAGCCCATCTTCTTGCTCCTTGCTAAATGAAATGCAGACATGATAGGTATAACTGTGGCAGACATATGGACCATGAGAGCACACTTTAGGACAGCAGAGCATCAGGAAAGCAGGCTCCCTGGATCTCTGAACACTGTGTAATCACTGCATCCGGAATGGACTGAAGCTCACACTAGAGGTACATGGAAGGTTACACTGAAGCTTTTTAAGTTAGAGAAAAAGCAACTTCACTCTAGTTTAAACTACATTTATTTCTAAGAGTTTTTAAAAATGATGCACACAGGATAACATTCTTTGTTATTTTTAAATGTGTTCATTTATTGTTCTGAATAGTTCTCAATGAGGGTAAGGGATCAAGAAAGTTGTAATCTATTTTTCTTAAGCCTCACCATAACCATGTAAGTTACCATGGCATTTACATCTAGCTACTAGAGAACAAGAGAGAGCAGAGATAATGATTCAGGACAGTGCTCCCAAAAGTTCCACAAAGAAGAACTAGGAAGGGCTTTGGGGAATACTTAAAACCAGTCTGCTGTGGTTGGAGAAGGCTATGAGGTGACCATGCCAGCAGCTTCAGAAGCACTAGACTTCACAACAGTCTTCCACAGAGTAGCCACATCTCTAAACTGCTCAAGAGTCTGGAACCAGAGAAAAGGTTCTACCGCTATAAAAAAAAATACCTTTTTAAGACAGAAAACTATTCATAATATCCAAAATCTGTTGCTAAAGACTTCTTTAAAGGGCTACGAGCAATGATGTCACTTTGAGGACTGATGTGCACCTGCCCCAAGTTGTGTTATTTTCAATCACCTTATACACATGTGAAAGTTAAAAAACCAAGACTGAAGAAGCATTGGTACCTCTGAATTCTTGTATTGGCAAAGAATATTAAATAAACCATGGACTGACAAAACAATAAACAAATCTCTCGTGGAATAGTACAGTCTCAAACTCTTTAAAGCAAAGATGGTAAAAACTCTGTCTCCTCTACTTTAATCGTGCTAAAGGAGGGGCCAGTCGCTAGAGAAAGACATATTTGGTAAAGTAAAGGGTCTGGAAAAAAAAGCATAAGACCTTTAATGATATAGACTGTTACCACAACTGTAACAATGGGCTTAAGCACAGAGAAATTATGAGGATGGTACAGGATGGACATAGAGTCTCTATGAGTTAAAGTTTTTAGGTGCAATGGCACCTAACAATCTGCCCAACAATCTGCCCATCTTCCTCACTGCACCAACAGAACCAAAAAGGCTGGAGAATCTGTTGAAAAGCATAGCATAAGTACACAGTTCAGGAAGCTGTTCAAAAGTATAGCGCAGGTACACTGTTCAGTTCATCTGTGCCTCAGAGCCTCACCACGCTCCAAGCATCACATCACATATAACACTAACAGCAAACAAGATGACAACATGAAAGCTGGGTTAACAGATGTTTCTAGTCTTAAAAACACACTACTACTAAAAGATAGATATAACATGTTCAGATATAAAGATCACACCCTTTCCCATTTAATTTCCTATCTGTTGGGCTCACCTGTCATTGATTGATTTATTGAAGTCTATAATCTCATACGGATACTCTTGAAACACTGATATCGTAAAATGTCATCTGATGAAGACTAAGTATCCTAAAACTCTCCTCTGTGGTAAACACAGCCTTTATGGTTATATACTGTATATTCCCAGCCCTAGAAGAATGCTTCATCTTGAGTTGTTGTTGTTATTGTTGTTAAGTGTTTGCAACTCATAGTGACCCTATGTACAACAGCCCTAAACCCTGCTCTATTCTGTGCCAATCGCACTGCCTCTGACACACCCATCCCGATTACCCCAGTCACTGAATCAATCCACCTCATAGAGGGTCTTCCCCTCCTGCGCTGTCCCTCCACCCTACCAAGCCCTCTCCAAGGACCTGTCTCTCCTTACAACATGTCCAAAGTAAGTCAGACGAAGCCCCAGAATCCTTGACTCCAAGGAGTAGATGGTTTAACCCTCTCCAGGATGAATCTGTTTATTTTCCTAGCAGTCCATGGTACCCTCAATACTTTTATCCGGCACCACAGCTCAAAGGCATCAATTCTCCTTCTATCCTCCCTAGTTATTGTCCAACTCTCTGATGCATAACAAGTGATTGCAAAGACCATGGCCTGTATCAGGCGCACCTTAGTCTCCAGACAGACACTGTTGCTCTTGAGTACTTTAGAGAGGTCCCTAACAGCAGACTTTCCCATGGCAATACGTTCTTTGATTTCATGACTGCTGGTGCCAAGAGTGTTGACCGTGGAACCAAGCAAACTGAAGCTGTGAACAATCTCAATCTCTTCGCCATCCATCCTGATGCTACCAATTGGTCCAGTGGTGAGAATCGTTGTCTTCTTGACATTGAGCCTCAGTCCATACTGAAGGCTGCAGTCCTTGACCCTCTGCAGCAAGTACATGATATCCTCCTCAGTTTCAGCAAGCAGGGTTGTGTCATCTGCATAACGCAAATTGTTAATAGCTCTTCCACCAATCCTGACGCCACACTTCTCCTCATAGAGCCCAGCCTCTCGGATAATCTGCTCTGCATACATGTTGAAAAAGTATGGAGATAGGGCACATCCCTGGCATACACCCTTCCCAATTTTGAACCATGCAGTTTTATCCTACTCTGTTCTGACGACTGCCTCTTGGTCCAAGTATAGGTTTCGCATTAGCAGAATTAAATGTTCTGGGATTCCCATTCTTCTCAGAGTCAGCCATAGTTTGTTATAATCCACACTGTCAAATGCCTTTCCTAATCAATGAAACACAGACATTCTTCTGGTATTCCCTGCTTTCAGCTAAGATCCATCTAACATCAGCTACAATATCCCTAGTATCACATCCCCTTCTCAACGTAGCCTGGACTTCTGGCAGTTCTCTGCTGATGTGCTGTTCCAGTCGTTTTCGGATAATCTTCAGAAGAATTTTGCTTGCATGTGAAATCAATGAGATTGTTCTGTAGTTTCTGCACTCAGTTGGGTCACCTTTCTTTGGAATGGGAAGAAATATAGACCTCTTCCAGTCAGTTGGCCAAGTGGTTGTTCTCCAGATTTCTTGGCACAACTTGGTGAGCACAACCAGGTTTGTTCTGTTGTACAAAGGGTTTTCAGAGGCCTGCTATTTCAGAAGTGAATGGCCAATCCTTTTTCCTAGTCTTTCTTAATCTGAATGTTTACTCTAAAGCACACAAACAAAAATTATTTCTTGATTAAATGATTTTTAAGTATGGATGCTGTGGTATATCATTTGCCTCAAGTTACTTGTACTTGCTTCATGACTTACTCAAAACAACGCATCTTCCTAAAAATTGCTAATAAATCACAGATTTATGATCATAAGTCATGTTCTTTCTTACTATGTTTCACTGAACAGTTTACTCTCTTGCTTTTTCCCCCTTGCTTCATAATTTATTGAGGAAAACAGAAGTAATTAAAAGAGAACTTTTGCAAGTAAACCCAGAAGAAACAATCTGCATCTGTATTTTTTTTATTCTAGTAAGTAAAGGGAATCCTGAGATTAGGGACTTGACTTTTAGCCTAAAGACTGGTGGTTAGAACTCATAAAGAGGTACTCTGGGATGTTTCTGAAAGTCACATCCTTGAAAACTCTATGACGAATTTCTTCGCTTTGCACACATGGTGGGGGGTGTCATGAGACAGAATCAATTCAATGGCAATTAAAAACTACATAGATATAATTTTGTTCCCCAAAAATATATACTGGAATCTTAACCCTTGGACATATACGGATATAATCTTACTTTTTGTTTTATTCTAATAAGTGCAGTGTGTACCTTGAACCTAAACACTGTTGACGAGGTATGTGGAGCAGCAGAGATGCAAAGGAAAAGAGGCAGATACAGGGGAAGAGAGACACAAAGGACAGAGAAAGGAGGATGGTGTATCTACAAATCCAGGAACTCCAAGGAAAACTGACTATTTAACTCTGAGATAAGAACCATGAGCCAGATCAAGAGCCAGATAAGAAAGGACCCTGTCTACAATTTGGACTTCTAGCCTCCTGAATGTGAGGAAGTAAGTATTTAATCTTGAAAACCCACTTGGCATAAGACAATAGCTAAGACTGCTTATTTAACAAAGTAAACAGAAGTCAGTACCTCATTTCATCCAGGCCTGTCTTTACATTACTAAGAGAGCTGATGAGAAGATAGCCGCTCTGGACTTTATAACCTCTCCAAGTCTATGGACACTCTATGATCAACTGCAGCACTAATCAGCGTTGCAGAACCTACTACCTACTACCTGCACCTTTACTACCCTCTTCAATATTCCCACCTGCTTCTTCTCCAGAACCACCAGGGCTTAGGTAGCCCACATACACTGTGGAAAGGCCCATATCTATCTACAAGGCACAAGGCTACGGTGGTAATACAAGCATCCAGTGTAGCAGGTCTAGTAGAGGACCAGATCTGACAGCAAGGCCTGTTCAGCAAGGGACTGAATGTCTACAGAGCCCCAAGCTCAGGCTTGCAGCAATCCTCGGCACTGAGCAAACATTTACTGTCGAGAACAAGGACTATGCTAGATGTTTTTAATCTAGCCAAGAAGCTGAGTACGTAGAAGTCTTCTATAGGTATTTGAATGACAAGAATTCTCAGATCTTTGATGTAGCTTTAGAAAGACCCCGGTATATGCACACTACCACGTTTCAGCTTACCTTCCAGTAAACTTATCAAACACTTCTTTTTTCATTTTACAGCTAGAAATATGTCCTGAAACCTAAAAATAATTACTGCCAAGCTACAGCAATAATCCCAAGCTCATAAAGCACGCACCACTAGCCCCATTAACATGCGAACAGCTCACCTCTTATAAGCTGAGTGATCATTCTTCACACTGCACTTCATGTTCTTCAGCTCATCGAGCACAGCAAACATGTTGATGAACTTGCCCAAGGTCAGCAGGTAGGCCTCAGACACGAAGTCCTTCCTTCTCTCTACATGACACAAGCGACGCACCTCCCCACAGAAACGCTCAATGGCATTTCTCTAGTAGAAGAGGGAAAAGCAGAGCCATGTGTGTCAGTGCTAGGTCAAACCCAGACCAGCCAAAAGGGAGGCTGCCAGTCATGCAGACACCATCAGATCTACAGAATACAGACTCATTTAAAAGTAGTTTCTAAACACATATATATGCCCTCTAAACACATATGCCCTGTAACAAAGACTGTTAATTTTATATCCCTAAAGTAAATTCATTTTATTGATTATTCTAGCAAAGATGCTTTAACTATCAGAAATATAACAATTGGCAGATTATTAACTTTTATGTTAAGACAAAAAACTTAACTCCTAAGAAGTTCTATATTCTGCTAAAGGAATCTATACTGATAATCTTGTTTTCAAAGCTAGCAAGTCCTTTCCTGTTGCCACTCTTTGCTTAACCAATGAGCTCAAGCAAGAGAAAAGTGGACAGAGGTTAAAAGTAAGAAAAACACCTGAAAATAAGATAATTCAATGAACAATTCCACCGAAATATAAAACTTCATAGCTGGTCCTGTTAGAAAGACCTCATAGGAGAAAAGAATTATTACCCTCAAGCTGAAAAGACAGTATCTATCGTGAGAGGTGCGTACTCTACAGCTGTTTGGCTATTCCTCTTCTGTCTCAGACACTATGCTGCTCTGATCACTTTATGTTGTGCTCACTGGGCTTATACTTTTAAAAAGGGCAGTCACGATGAATTAGTGAAATGTCAGAAAATCTCAGACCTCCAAACTAGATCTTTTGGATTACTTTGCTCTTTTTACCTGGAAGTACATAAAGTTCATCAGTTTTGTGACTTCTGGCTCAAGGACTTCCACAGTTTTCTCATAAATCTCCACTCTATTAGGCTGCTCATTGCATTTCACCTGGGAATAAGCAAACAAAGGTTCAAAGAGACTTTAATCCAGTCAGAAATGGCTGCTTGGTGGAAAGGTGATAGTGATGAAAGAGGGGAGAATGGCTGGTTATGGAAGAATTGGAGACAAGGGTAGTGATGGAGGAAGATGCAAACAAAAAACCAAAAATGGTAGTGGAAGGGGAGAAGAGGGAGTAAAGGAGAAGGCTGGAAATGGGGAAGGTGGTAGCCATGGGCAAAAGAGATAGCGGGAAAAGGAGGATAACGAGGGAACAAATGAAGGAGAAAGAAAGAAGACAGGGAATACAAATAAGGAAGACAGAAATTGAGGAAGGCTGGACATAAGGGTGGCAAGAGAAAAGTATAGATGAGGAAAAAGATGTTAAGAGTAGAAAGGCAGATAGAGGTGGTAGCAAGGAGGAGGCTGGAGATAGGAGAGGGGAGGTTTTAGCAGGTGGCACCTGTGGGATGGCCCTGGAGCAGCTCCTCCAGGTGTATAGCATGACAGCATATTCCTGGCCCTCCTCCAGCATCTCATTCTGTAATGGAACACAGGGCAAATCAAAGACAGGTAGATGGAAGTCTCAAAGTGAAGCAGGAAACAGTCATCAAAGAATGATAAACTGCTAAAATCTATACAAAGAAACGTAAGTTCTCAACTTTCCCCTTGAGATGTACAGATTCAAGGACTATGCCCTGCTTGCCCAGAGGATAATGGTGGCTTAGGACTAGGCAGAAAGTGCTTAGAGCACGAAGGGATCCCACTGGGGCTATCTACACTATGTTCTCTCTGTTAAGGCAACTCAGACAAGCTGCTGGTAGCTTTGATAGCCTGTCAACGGTCCTCAGTGTGCAAAAGGAAAGCTGGAGGATTTCTGCAGAAGTCACAGGAGGAGTCTCCATGGGAAGAGGAATACTATTTTAAAATCTACTTAGTATCTTTTTCTTTCCTTCCTGATTTTCCTTTGGTAAAAGGATTTAAAAGATGCTAGCTAAAATGTCAACTGCAGACTGAAAATGCTTAAAAATAGCCTTTAATGTGTTCTCAACTGTCATCAAAAGCACAACTATTGCTCTCTCCCTGTCAGAAATGAGTGAAAAAAGCAAAGATGTATGGCAACATTTAGTCCCAAGCACTAATAGACCATCTGAATCTCAATTTTCACAACTGAGAGCGTAGAAAAACTAAATGTCGCATGGATACCACTACTGACAACTCTAAGACGGATCACAGTGCAAAATCATAAATACTGTAGAGAAATTTCCAACAAAACTGAAAAATGCCATCCATAGAACCCAAAAGTATGGTCACCCTTTGACCCTGGAACAAAACTCATTTCCGTGTCTCAACTTTTAGTCAATCAAGAAAGGTCTACAGAGTGACCAATAATGTAAGGGAGACATTCATTCCTCAGAATCACAAACCCTATAAGATCAAAAGAGCATCATCTGCCCAAGGATATAAAGACAGAAGGCAGGAAAGGTTAGGGTGAAGAATTCACAGAAATGAGAATCATAGGAAAGAAGGAGAGAAAGTGTGATTGTTTTTACGTGCAGATTCATAATTGACCCTTTTCAGCAGCTTCTGAGAGGCTTTAAATCATATGAGTGAAAACCGCCTGTATTTCTTCAGCAGAACAGCCAGAGGAATCAAACTTTGAGTCTTACCTTCAGAGTGTAACTTTTTACCACTAGACTAAAACCAATTTACTTTGTAAACTTTCACTTAACTCACACTTAAAATTAAGAAGAAAAACTATGCTTAGAACCTTCCATGCTGCAATTTCACGTCTCTGAATCTAGCCTAAGGACATAATGTAGTTATTTAGAAATTGTTAAAAACTGTTTTCTATTTCGGTACTGTGAAAATGTCTAAGAAATCACTAAAATAGATCATCTTAGCATAATTATATAATTCATTTGTAAATTTTAAATTATAATACCCAGCATGTGAATCCAGGTTCCTAAGAAGAACAGAGAGAGCTAAAAGGAAGAGGTTCCTCATGATATTAAAAGAGGTTTTTTTCTGGACCATAAAGCCCAAGTTATTTTAAAAGAGAATGTACTGCTTTTACAATTAAAAAAGACAGTGAAGGTTTCTTTAAAAACAGAATGTCTTTCATTCAATTTCTTTTTATCTTTCTCACTACCTATCATACCAGGATAATACCAATCTCTAGGAATACAAGTATTGAGAAAGAATTACCATGTTAGAATGAACGGTGGCCTGCTCAATATATCTTGCAATACCAGTAACAAATGCATTTCTGTCTTCAAAGTTAGTGTTGAAATTTGGCTAGAAAGAAAAAAAAGAAAAAAAAAAAGCATGAAGATACAGGGTTTGGCTACCCTTTGGCCCAGCAGCTGCATGGAGGGAGGGAGGGCACACCTGATACAGCAGTGAAGAAGGCGGAGGCTCAATGCAGGGTTGCTGGTCAGGCAGTGGCAGCTCCTCCAGGAGATCCACATTGGACAGCGCATCCTCAAGTGTCACCTGAGCTGCCATTCTAACACTGAAACAGATACAAAGACACTGTTCTCATAAGGAAAGGTATCAAAGTCCAATCCTCTCCTGAGACTAAGGTTCACAGATCAAGTAGTCCAGGGACCCACTCCCAATCTCTACTCCTAAGTAAAGAACTGATGTCTTCGTGTGTGTACCGTCAGACTGGTACAGGAGGAGATTGCCCTTCCTTCTCCAGCAGAGTATCTGGTGGATTTGAACCACACACCTCTGGCATTGCAGTGCAGCTTCTTACCACTAGGCCACCAGGGCTTCCTTGATGCCTTTGAATTGTGGTGTTAGACAAGAGAACTGAACACTACACGGACTGTGAAAAGCACAAACAAGTCTCTCTTGGAGGAAGTGCAACCAGGGTGCTTGTTAAGAGACAAGGATAGTGAAACCTGGTCTCACATACTTTGGGCATGGTATCAGGAGAAATCAGTGCTTAGGAAAAATGCATTATGCTGAGAAAGGTGTAACAGGGGGAAAAGAGAGGAAGTTGCTCAAGAGGAGGGTCAGAACACTGACAATAACAATGTGCTTGAACACATGTGAGACTATGAGGATGGCACAAGGTTTAGATGTGTTATTCATAGAAGACAAACTAGAAAAGGAAACATTTTAAAAGTAAAATCTTATGTACCTCAAAAGATTTCTCAAAAAAAGAGTAAAAAGATAAATGAAAGAATGGGAAAAAATGCATGGCATCAACATAACTGACAAAGTCTAGCCTCCAAAACTGATATTAAAAAAAGTCATACAAATTCTGTAGAAAATTTCAACACCTAAATGAAAAATAAAGACAAATAATACATGTACAGATATTTTACTCAAAGATGAATTCAGATGGCAAATAAACCCATGAACATATGATATCCATCCTTTCCCGTTGTCACTGTTAGGTGCTGTTGATTCAAGCACAACTGATAAGTAACCCTGTGAACAGGACTGAACTCTATCGATCCTGTTCCATCCTCAACATCTCTGACACTCTTGAGCCCTTGTACAGTCACTGTGTCAATCCACCTTGTAAAGGGTCTCTCTCTTTTGCTGACCCTCGACCTTTCCAAGCATGAATATCCCTCTCCAATGAAGTTTCTCATAGCAACATGTCCAAAGTATGTGAGATGAGGTTTTGTTATAAAGCAATGAAATACAATCTGACTACTACAGCATGTTAAAGTTCAGTAAAGGAGAAAACAAATACTGATAAATAAAGATACTGGAATTCCCAAAACATTCTGGACAGAACTGAAAATAGTACAACCATTGTGAAAAAACAGTATGTACATCCTTTAGGGCTAGAAATAGATATACCACTTAATTCAGATCCTAATGCTATGAATAAAAAACAAGTTTGGATACAAATATTTATACACCCATGATCATTACACCATTTCTCTTCAAAGATGGAAATAATCCAAGTGACCATCAACAAACGAACTGATGAGCAAAAAAGGGTACATGCACACAAGGAAATAGTAACATTAAAAATGACTAATCTCTGGGGATGGCTGAAAATCGCCTGTGACTTCATCCATAGCCACTGGTGAGAGTCAGCGTCCAGAGCCATCAGGGGCTTTAAGCTCGTTGCCCACTGCTGTGG